AACAAGTTTCCCAATATACTCCCCTTTGACTGTTTGGATGAACAGGTCGTTCCTGTTATACTACCTTTTAGATAGTTCCTATACTAGTGCAATTAATCCAGCGAATTGTTAAGGCCTACCTATAGTTGACGTTTCACATTAAGCAATAATGAATATAGGCCTAAAAACAACACAGCTCACCTGTAAGGAACTAGGTCATGTCTAATTTTCACAACTTTTTTCAGGCATTTTTTAGTTCTCTGGAAATTTGCAGAAAAACTTTTCTTTTAGGGGTGGCACGGTACCATTTTTTTCAGAAGCGATCCCGATCCGATACCAAAAGTTCTGAGTATCGGACAATACCGATCCGATATCAGCACCGTTTTTTTTTTTTTTTTTTCCTTCTATACCTCAGTGTGTGTTGACCTGATCATCACTCTTTTGTGTGTTACACACAATCTACTAAATATAGACAACTTCATTATAAAGAAAAATATCAAATTCAAAAATATATAATCATAATCTATGAGAAAAATACTATTATAAACTAGGATAGTAGATAATTCAGCAGCAACCTTTACTCTACAAAAATGATGAGTTCACAATAATTTTGTAAAATCTAAACATTTAGAGAAAAAACATGATTTAGTGGGGGAAAAAATAAAAGTAAATAGATGTAATCTGGTAAAATGTTACACATTGCTCTTTGTATTGTAATATACATGAATGAAAAACAAGTAAATATAATTATATGCAATAAATTAAATGCATCTCTTTTACATTTATAGCACAGTAATGAGGCAGCAACATATGCCATTAACTGAGTTCAGCGGTGTGCAAGAAATGAGAACGACACCTGAAACCAAATCTCTCTACAGCTACTAAGCATCTTGATAACATATTTCTAATAACAAGTTTCCCAATATACTCCCCTTTGACTGTTTGGATGAACAGGTCGTTCCTGTTATACTACCTTTTAGATAGTTCCTATACTAGTGCAATTAATCCAGCGAATTGTTAAGGCCTACCTATAGTTGACGTTTCACATTAAGCAATAATGAATATAGGCCTAAAAACAACACAGCTCACCTGTAAGGAACTAGGTCATGTCTAATTTTCACAACTTTTTTCAGGCATTTTTTAGTTCTCTGGAAATTTGCAGAAAAACTTTTCTTTTAGGGGTGGCACGGTACCATTTTTTTCAGAAGCGATCCCGATCCGATACCAAAAGTTCTGAGTATCGGACAATACCGATACCGATCCGATACAGCGCAGTTTTTTTTATTTCTGTACCTCAGTGTGTGTTGACCTGATCATCACTCTTTTGTGTGTTACACACAATCTACTAAATATAGACAACTTCATTATAAAGAAAAATATCAAATTCAAAAATATATAATCATAATCTATGAGAAAAATACTATTATAAACTAGGATAGTAGATAATTCAGCAGCAACCTTTACTCTACAAAAATGATGAGTTCACAATAATTTTGTAAAATCTAAACATTTAGAGAAAAAACATGATTTAGTGGGGGAAAAAATAAAAGTAAATAGATGTAATCTGGTAAAATGTTACACATTGCTCTTTGTATTGTAATATACATGAATGAAAAACAAGTAAATATAATTATATGCAATAAATTAAATGCATCTCTTTTACATTTATAGCACAGTAATGAGGCAGCAACATAGGATAGATAAGACAGAACAAGAAAGGCTATTAACAATCTTTCATTGCGCAAATGTATTATAACATGAAAGGCTCCATTATGGAGCGGTACAAAGCGCTTATGCGCATCCCATGCATAGAATGATGCGCTTGAAGCAACACAGAGTCGCAGCGCTCCGCATAGAAAAGTTCAAAGCACAAAGGGAAGAGACATTGATGCGTAGTGTATTATATCTGTGCCATAGTTTATTGAGCCTTTTCTTTTAACAGCTTTAAATTTTAGTTATTGTGCACGTGAAGAACAATTCATAGTGCTCTCTACTCCAGTGTAGTGCTCTCTAACAGACACCCGGTAGAAAGTAACATGATTCAGAATTAGCACTAAACTCCGGCAAGATAGAGTACTTTTATGCAAAACCACTGATTTTTATCTAACATTACAGTTCAAGTATAATAATAGGAACATTGTATCATCCTAGAGAGAGTTCCATCGTCTTGACTGTCGTAACCGAATGCTGAATGAAGGATTACAGACAGCCGCAGCGGAGGGAACTTGAATTTAACGACTTAAATATTCATCTGTACCTCACATTCAACTATGGAACGGTCTCAGAACACTTGAAATATAATGCACGGAAACCTTATGGTGCTTTATAATGTATTTGTGCCTTTTCGTGGGGCTTAACAATAACACAGAATACTAGTATACGCACAATATCGGATTTGGACAGCATAAAGTGGCAGTATCGGAGCGATACCGATAATGAATATCGGATTGGCGCACCCCTAGTTTCTTTGGCTGAAAGTTTGATACCCAGATAAACAACATACTGTACGTTGAGTAGGCACTTCTGAATAACTGTTAATAAGTACGTTCTACACAGCATATATATAATCTGGATGAACTACATTCATCATCTTGTTATTGTCCTTGTGATAATCAGGCTTGCAAATTGCAAACAGGCCAGTGTTTCATCTAATGCTTGACATTATTTTGAGATTATCGCATGAGCTGATTGTCGATTTATCAAGGTTATTCCTCACATTTTCTTTTGTAAAAAATTGTTTACTCAAAATGCACTAAGAAGTATGCAGTACATTATACAATACAGAACAGATGCATCAAGTCACTGCAATTCACAACTCCTCTCCCGTGGCCTCATGGGATAGTAAAGTGCCACTGGATGTGCACTTTGCAACAACACTCTGGTTTTACGAATATTATGAATTTTGACAAAAAAAATGTACCACTGTTCCTTTGCAGCCTATGTGTCCTCATATACTCTGTTGATGGTACAGCACAGCACAAAACTCTTCAACCAGCACAAAATCAGACTAACTCTATCACCGCACAACTTTCAAACCAAAAAAAAAAAAAGATATCTGATGACCAGCCCTTGCAGAGATAACCATAATATGCAAGAGAAATGTAGGCATTCTTGTAATCAGATGCAAAAAAACTTTTGATAAGATTGCGTTCCACAACAACCCATTATTCCTTTAAAAACTCCCAGAGTACAAATACCATCCTACGCATCCACAGTTTAAACATGTTTAAGCCTTTTAAAAATGCTACAAGTAGATAAAACAATCAGGCTAAAATGATGTACTGTATGCATTCATCAACACAGTCAAATGTGTAAAATAATAATAAAGCGATGTGCCTATAAACCAAAAAGGCATCTTAAAATATGCAAATGACAACAAACACGTTTACAGCATGCATTTTTATGCATGGTGGTGACAGCAGAATAGTTATAAAAAAATTTCCCATTCCATTAAACAAAAAAAAATGATGCTGTTAGGATTTGCAGTCATTTAAGTGCAGGTTTGGCAAGCTCAAAAAGCTTACCGAAGTGCACAAAACTGGATAAGGTTACACCAGAATATCTAAAGCAATCAAGAGTCCACAACTATAGACATAGTCCAAGTTTATGAAACTTGGACAAGCTACAAAACCCTTAAACAAATGACTAAGAATTTGAGGGCTCCAGCTAAGTACTGACGACATAACATCTCAGCATCCAAAATAACACAGCGACTTAGCAAGAGATGTGCGAGGTTACCACAGGAAACAGACGTTTTCTCTGCAACCCATCTTGAGTTTTTTTAAACCTAAAGACCACATGGATTCTGAAAGACCAGCATTCTGAGATGAATAGGACAAAACTATGGTGAAACATAGAATTCTGTGCAGAGAAAGCAAAGCACACATCAAAGCCTCATCACAAATGATGGAGGGAGAACAGTGCTGTGGGCCAAGCTCCAGGCACTAACAAAAAGAGTCTGTCTCTGATATAAAGTCCTAAAGAAACTAGGTCGCATAAAATGACAATCGTCCAAAGCACAAGATTAAATCTTTAAGAGAAGAGGCATTCTTCTTTTTAGAGATAGAAAGTTAAACTCCAAATCTTAAAAGTAATAATAAATAAATCTCATTAAAAGTAACCACTGATTAACGAATGATAATCACTCCATTTTACCTCAATACTATCCTTTCACTTATTTTAGTTATTTGTTAATTTTACGGATGTTATTTGGTCATTTCAGGGATTCTCACTAGCTGCAAATGGGTAGTTGACAAATATACCGTAAATGTGTCCTATGGTGTGACGGCAAACATTTAGAAAAGAAAAAAAAACTAACAATGAAGATAAATCTCTCTTATGCTACTTGTGTATTATAAACAAGAAATTAATTATTAATAATGATTAACTATTGTTTTCTAAATTTTGCTGTTACGGTATACATGTCAACAACCCAAACACCTGCAACATTTGCAAAATGATTCAATCAAACTACCTCAAATTGAGTGTTTTGTCACTGCATGCGATGGCCTCATGGATAAGGACAGTTTTGTAATGCATAATAACCAACAGGTGTCCAGGGAATTGACTATTACACATTGTAAGGACATGCGTAGAGCTCCGATTATAGTGATATGGTGATTTTTTTAAACATTTGAACAAGACTGTGCCTCTCTGGTTTTGCTGCAGCTCAACACTTTACATTCATTTTCAAGCTACCACACAAAACTTCATTTCCATTCAAGTTTGCATGCCTCTAAATGCCAGTCCTTTCTCGTGGAAACGAGGTTAAAGACACTGCACTCCACTCTGGGTTGTGTGCATGTGGTATTGATGGTATCGGTCTCCCATTCCATTCTGAGAACTTTCCTGGAAAAAGGTAAGAAACCAAATGGAAAGAAACCAAACAGACGATAAAGGGCCGTGTCTACCGAGCACGTGGGTTGTCAACAAACTGTTCAAAGCAATATTTGTGCCCATTCAGCGAATGACATTCACATTCATTTGCAGGACATTCCCAAAACTTCTGTCAGTAGACTTACCTGCATTGTAAAAATGATCAAGAACTGACGTTTCACCAAAGTCCAGCTTCCCAAAGGGGACTATGTCTAGTTTAAACCCCACAATGTCACAAGCATCCTTCAGACACTGTAAAGCCATGTTCTCCGGGCTGAGAGGTTGGCTCGTTTCAGAGTTCCTCACATAGGCCACTTGCACGGCTCGGCTCTTACATTTACCCGTGGTCAACAAGTTCCCACTGTCTGAGGGCAAACTGATCACCCCAGGGTTGGCGCTCTTACAGCTGGAGGGGTCCTGCCAGAAGGTCCCAGCACCAGGGTTCACGCTGCCACTGGATTCTCCATTACTCCCTCCCATCATGTCTAGGGGTTGGCAGAGAGAGGGTACGGAAAGAGAAATGGCCTCCGGAATGGAATTCATTTTTTCATCAGTTTGTTAAATGACCCCAACCCCAACAGTACAGCTTCTCAACCAGCACACTGCATAGCTGCCATTCCTGGTAGCTCTACTAGTGGCACCAAACCAGCAAATAACACTGACGTGATGTCGTCAACAATGTAACCAACAATGAAGACGATTATGGTTTCATTTTTAGATCAAAATGTAAAAATCCGCTTAGCAGCATATATAGGTCTGGACGAGGAAAAAAATGGCAAGAATTGAATAACTGCATAGATCACGCACACGCTCGTCACGACTCGAAGAAACGATATCACACTCCAGAAAATGCATCCATGTCCTGAAACAAAAGCGTTTCAGAAGAACTTATTTATCGGAGCGCATGTATAGTCGTTTCTGAAGTAACGACAGCGCAGCTCTGTGGATCGCTGAACTCCGCGTGCGTCGTGTCGAGCCGTTTCACTATGAGCCATCAAACGCGTTTTCTCAGTCCTGTCGTTCCTGTTTATGTCATTGTGTCTATGTCATTAAATTGCGAAATCGATCTCGGCTGAAGCGCGTTTGTCTGCTGGACCCTGCCCTATTTCTATTATTATCTTCAACACAACTCACACTCACGGGGTGGAGTAGCACTCCGAACTTACAGGAAATGCATTGACGAAACCTACTATAGAAAAGGCTCAAGTCATGAATATTAAACACGTAACGTAGAACTCACTCAGTTGGCCGCTGTAAAGCAGACCTTGGGCCTCTCACAGTACCCACAACTGCGGTCTTTGCGTTTTTTAAATGATTTATTTATTGGCAACTACACAGCAAATACAAAAAATACAAAATAATAATAATAATACCAACAACAACCACTGTAATGATACATTTAAATAAAACATTAATCAGAAAGAGCTTGCCAACAAAGAATTTTTCTTGGTGACAGAAGCTTACAGTACACACTGCTTGACAAGTGACAAATACAAATAAGTGAGTAAAAATAAATATGTAAAAATAGACAAAGAGATAGCATATTGTATGTAAAGTGCTATAAGCAAATTATGCAAGGGAATGTGGGTAGATGTAAGATATATTAAGTCACTAACGTACGTATAATAAATATAAGTATTGACAGTTGGGTATTGCACAGTGGGGAGAACATTTTACTGTTCAATAAATTAACAGATAACACAGAAATACTTTGTTGTTTGTTTGCCTTGATGTTCCTTGCACCCTCTGAAGCGTCATGATACTGAAAAAGCTCACACTTCAAGTGTGGTATTTGCGCTTGACCTCTTGTCTACTTTATTGTCTATACTCTTGTCTATACTTATTTGGCCCAAGTGTTCAAAATGGGCATGCAGACTACAAGTGTGTGTAGAAACTTTGATTAGCCAATGGGACAAATCTGTAGTGTTATTTACAGAGCTTCATTTACACATTTTCATTTTCAGTATTATAATTTAATTTTAAATAAACGTCTAAATGTCTGTAGTAGTTTGTGTCACAGAACACATAATTTATTAATTGTGGTGCTTCGAATTAAGTGCAAAAAAATCAGTTGCAAATGTTTTACAAAATAAACATACTCATCTCTGCGCCAATACACTGAGCAACACTTTACATTTTACTATAATATTATAATGTATGTAATATCTAATTAATTTAACTTACACTGGAAATGTCTTAATATCTTGCACTATCGGGCTACGTGAGTTCCAGAATATGATGAATGATGGTATACACACTTAGTCTCAAAAGAAGTGGTATTAAAGATAGCATGGATTTAGTGTGTTTTAGACAGGAACAGAGCTTTGGCTTTTTTCAGGCTTGGGACAGTCTTGCACACTTCCTTCCTGTTGCATGCGTGCACTGTCCAGTGTCCGAGACTCCAAGTGTGGGTATTGGGACAGGCCCCTTGGTAAATTGCTCGCATAAAATTCAAGGCATTAATGTTTGCCTACAAAACCACCACTGGCTCTGCACCCCTTTACCTAAATTCATTACTTCAGAGTTATGTGCCTCTAGAAGCTTGCGCTCTGCAAGTGAACGATGCATTATTGTGCCATCTCAAAGAGGCACAAAATCACTTTCACAGACTTTTACATTAACTGTTCCCTCCTGGTGGAATGACCTGCCCAACTCAATCCAAGCAGCTTCAATCCGAGTCCTTAGCCATCTTCAATAAACGACTAAAAACACATCTGTTCCATCTTTATTTGACCCTCTAATTCACTTTCTATTCTATTTAAATTTTACTTGATTTAAAAATTTTGAAAATTACTTTACTTTTTTTATAAAAAAAAACACACTAGCTTTCTATTTTTTCTATTCTATCTACTTGTTTTTCTTTGTGTGTATATGTGTGTATATATATTGTAACAACTCGCGGTTGTTCAATTGAACGTGGGCTGTCTGGAGCTAAACTAGGCTACTAGAGTGTTACTGAGCTAACGGCTAGCGGGGCGCTAGCATCTATGGCTATGCAATGCGGCTTTTACACTTGGCTGATGGAGAGTGAGAACTATGGAAGGCCAAAATTGTCAAAAACATGTGAAATTTTACACATCAACAATGCGTCAAATACATGTATTTTTACGCGTTAGATACGTGTTGTTTGCGTGTGAAAAAATCAGCAGGTATTTCATGTGTATTTAACGCATATTTCACGTGTATATCGCATATATCTTGAATACGTGAAATACGCGTTAAAAATCTATTTGAACGGGTCAGTGTCATTGGCTGCTGAAAACTTGGGTCAAACCATTTCTGTGAGCTTAAGGGGGCTTACCATTCATAGACTAGAACAGTGTTTCCCAACCAGAGTGCCGTCTGTCGAGAGCAGGGGTGCCGTGTAAAAAAATTTTTTTTAAATATTTTTAAATTGCTAAAATGTTCAGAAAAGCATCTATTACATAATATCAATTTCTGATGTCGCCAATAATTAGAGATGCACCGAAATTTCAGCTGCCGAAAATTTGTTCACCGCTCAGTCTTTTACTTTCCCGTGGTGTGACGCTCTGCGTATTATCCACTCTATGTGTGTGCGCTCCGCTCAGACGCTCCACTCGTATACCGGTCATGCGAATCGGAACAGCAAAGTCCACTCAAACATTGAGCCGACAGGAAACATGGATGTAGTACAGTATTGTTTCTGTCTGCAATAGCCCTACTGTGTTGTAACATGGTGCGGTATATGAGCAACTCTGGTAACGCTGCCCTCTCATTCATTGATCTGCTAACTGCATGTTATGCTCACGTGTTCTGATAATAATAGCTTTCTAGGACTAAACATTATTTGGATAATTGGTAAAAAAAAATAAAAAAGTTAAATATCTTAACCCTACTGTTAGACCTACCTGACAAAACTAAAAAGCAATGTATTTAATTCGAAGGCCTGTCGTTATGTTTTATTTGTGCTATCATGATTAATTTCTTTATTTGTTCTTATTTTATTACTGACTGTTTACTTGCCATTTTTTATTCGATTCAAAGTTTGAAATCAAGCTATCTCGTGCTACTGCACCAAAATGACCAAGCTGTAAAATAAAAAAAAACACAGAGTGAGCAAAAATTTGTGAGATAGCTAGTTATAATGCTAATTAAATAATAAAAATAATAAAAAAAAGCCTTCATTAAAATCTGTCATATAAATTGGTCTCTTCATTAGAAATTAGCCTGCTGATTGCCACCATTGATGGACAACATTTTTAATAATATTAAAAATATCTGTTTGACATTATATTCTGCAGTTCTTCCCTGTTGTACCGAATATCAACACTTTTCAAATCATCATATCGAAATGAGAAATTCAAATATGACAATTAATTTTGTAGGGTGCCACAAGTTTGTTAAAATTTCCAAAGGGTGCCGCGACTAAAAAAAGGTTGGGAAACACTGGACTAGAATACCACCATTTAACATTCTATAGATCAGCTTATTCAGCCTTTTTATTTTTGTCCTTTTTTGACTTTTTGATATTATATTAGAAATAAAATTGCCTCGTTTTTCTCCACGTATGCCTTTTTTTTTTGTAAATAAACATATTAGTGGACATTATAGCTTTAACAGTGATCAAACTTAAGTTAGCATCAAAGCTTTAACATTTGTGAGGGGAAATCAGTGGAGGTAAGCAATCAATGCAGGTTTTAGACAGACCATTGTAATCAATATCTGTCTTTGGAAAACAACATGTGCTTTTCTTGTGCTACATTTACAGCTATCGCCAGCAGGCGGCGCTTATTATGCACTCATCAGACAAACATGCAGGTGATATTATCCATTTAAATTAATTTAAAGACGTAAAGTATTTAAATATGGCATTTTAGAATGTATATAAGTATTTCAGACTAAGTATTTAAGTTTTCATCCAGGGTGTCTTGGGTTGTGTTCGGAGGACGGGCGAGGCTTTTGCGGGTTTGCAGCGACGTGGGGGTGGGTGATTGATGACAAGGTTTTCATCTTGGGGTGGAGTATCCCTTTAATGTAAAAGTTTAAAAGTTTATTTTAAAGTTTTTAAAATAATAAAGTTACAATTACATAATAATATTTCTACTTCAATTCGTTTTTTTTTTAAATATATATACACATTTAAATGGTGGCTGTCATAAAACTTGATGGATTTATTCAAACATAAATTAAACATTGAAGAACAGTAAAATTTATAATGAATATGTTATATGGTGCATATATTTAGCAAAATGCCCCTCTCTACAGTTTATTTTTCTATATGATTAATGAGTTTATGGTCACCGAATATGTTTTTCCCGAGGTAAATATGACGTTTCATGACATTGTTTACAAGCCAGTATTGACGTCTTTGCGTGGCTGAAACACTGATTGAGCGATTACGTGAGACAGGATACGGATAGTAAAGTTGTACTGTTTCTTTTAACTTACCTTCGGATGTTTAGTCATGATTATTTTGTGCTGAAACTGGTATTAATGTGGAGGAGATGATTAGTTCATGTGCGCCTTGCGCTGCCGCATCTGTTGAACTGAGGCGCTACAGCGATCTGTCACTTCACATTAAACAGCACCAAAACGGCATTTATTGTTTGAATACTGCAATACAACGGACAGAATTTGAAATCTGAGACTTTGTTTCATATTAAAAGTACCAAAGCACAATGCTTATTGCGATATATTGAATGGGAAGTGCCCTTCAATGTTCAGTCCATTAACTGAAAACAGGCTAGACTAATTGATTCTTGGGATTTAAGAATCGATATAGTTCCGTAAAAATGAGAATTGATTAAAATCGAGATATCAATATTTTTTACCCAGCCCTAGTGTATATATGTATAAATATATATAATATATACAATATATAACACATACAGTATCTCACAGAAGTGAGTACACCCCTCACATTTTTGTAAATATTTTATTATATCTTTTCATGTGACAACACTGAAGAAATGACACTTTGCTACAATGTAAAGTAGTGAGTGTACAGCTTGTATAACAATGTAAATTTGCTGTCCCCTCAAAATAACTCAACACACAGCCATTAATGTTTAAACCGCTGGCCACAAAAGTGAGTACACCCCTAAATGAAAATGTCCAAATTGGGCCCAAAGTGTCAATATTTAGTGGCCACCATTATTTTCCAGCACTGCCTTAAC